TGTTTCTACGATATCAACAGTTGACTAGGAGAGCGTTGAACAATTGATAAAATTTGCAGAAATGATGTTTACGGCAGCGAATTTAGTAAAATTATTCGACTTCAAGAACTGTTTCCATACAAATATCAAACAGCACAATACGAAGACAGCAAACAGGAAGAAGTGGAAAAAAAAAAAACGGATAAAATAGACAATAGAAAACGCTGAAAAGCGTAAATTAGGCGTTAAAAAGACGTGTAACCTCTAGAGTAAAAGTTTTAATTGAAATTAAGTAAAATTTATAAGCTAAATCAGTAAGCAAACGGTAGATCATAAAGTTTTACAATCACAAACCACAAGACATAATCAATATATGCCAACGGATAACTGGGATCACATGCAGACAATGTTTAAGTGACCGATCAAAGAGGACATTCCACGTGAATGAACTACCGTAATATGTCAAGTGTAAGAAGATTGTTCTAGCACGAAATTAAGGCTTTTATGGCAATTCGCCAAGCGCATTGTTTTTTTTCCGAAATCATTGCCAATCTTATCTATATATAAGATTTTTTTTCCGTTGGTAACTTGGAACTGATGTTTGTTCAGTGGACATTACATCAGTTGATGCATCTCCAGAACAACAGCCAGTGCATTGCCTGTCTTTCATTTGCTGAGATTTGTTGTTCTTTAGTATTTTCTAGATTGTACAAATAAAATATTTTTTTTTTCAACTTTATATGTTACCTTGGTTTTACCAATTTTTTACAGAAATGATTACTGCGTCAAAAAAGCTTTTATAAGAGAGAAACGAGTAGAGTTTTTGTGCAGTCATGATAAGGACTTTCAGTTGATTATTTTTTGGAATATTAGCCCTCCTTTAATTTGTGGATTTAGACACCATTGTTTTTTTTCTTTTTTGTTTTTGTTTTTGAAAGACAAAAACAATGAAAATTAGACTCACAAGTTTTTGTGGGACATCACTTCGTTGATTTTCTTTTTTTTTTTTTTGTCATAATCTACCACTTTGAGTAGGAATTTTCAGATATATGGGAGCTGAGCACAGTTCCAGTCTTAAACGTTCAGTTTCTGGCGATGACATAGACTGGATTGGTCCTTCAACCTCCCATAAGAATCCAGTTAGAAGGAGTCGCATTGCGTTGGTTTTTTTCAACAAATGTGTCGGTACCCGTATATCACGCTTAAATTCAAGGAGGAAGGTGAACTCATAATTATTTTTATATTTTCTTGAGTGTAACCTATTTTTATTGCAGACGTTTTCCTGTTCTCTTTAGTTTTTCTATGTAATTTTTTCTATTACAAATCGCTTCAGAGTCGCTCTCTATCGCGAGACATTCGGCGAGCATTTCGGGAGCTTATAAGTTCTTGGTCATGCACAGAGCTGAATGCATTATGTACAGAAATGGAAAGTGGCTGGGCTGTTAAAGAATTAACGGATATGGCTGAGGGTACTCGTCATCCGGCAACAAAACTGGCACAGGATTTAGTGGATGCGCTAAATTCTCATGTCGTGACCGATTCTTTTGTGGTGTTCAAAGTAAGTTTCATAGCTTTCATCAGTTAGATGTTATGCGTTGCAAAAATTTTTGTAGGTGACTCACCCTCGATTTTCAGACTTGTTAGATATACAACTACGATTTAAAAATAATTCTTCTTAGGGAGGACAATATCCTGTACATGAAGCAGTTCTCTGCTCTCGGTCAAATTATTTTTGTACATCGAAAGAGGTTGTGAAAGGTATTGCTACTGGCAAATGCAGATTTCGGTTTCCGGATGAAAATATCAGCTTGGAGCTATTTTTTGCTGTTTTGCATTACATCTATTCTGGTGAAATGCCTTCTTCGTTATCAGCGCAACAGCTGCAAACAGTTGAAAATGTGTTGCACAGGTTTTGTAATCCTATTATAATTTAATTAACTTCATTAGTAAAGTCTATCTGTCAAATTTTTGCAGGCTTGGATGCACATCTAGTTTAGAAGATGACTTTCTTACTTACGATTTTGAAAAGAATGGCGATTGCACATTGATTTTTACGACGAACGGTAGCTCATCCTCCTCAAGTAAGTCAATTTTAATGCCCGGTCCTGTTCAAGCTCTGCCCTTATTTTCTGTCAAGCTATGACTTTACTTTAACTAATAGCTTCTTTTTTCTTGCTTTAAATATCAAGTGGATTTGTAGTTTTTGATTCTAATAGATAAGAAGTGTTCCCTTGTTCCGGACTACAAAATTCGATGCTCATCAGTTATTGTTGCTGCTCGTTCTTCCTTCCTGAAAAATTTAATTATCAAAAAGCGGCAGTTGTCGGAGCCATTAGAAATTGTTATTGATGAACACTTGATTCCTAGAATGTATGTTCCTGTCGTATTACATGCTGTATATACAGATCGTCTTGACTTATCAAAGGTAAACAAAATGACGCATATTTATTGCTTTTTATGCATGGAATTAAAAGTGATTTGTAGCTCGAGAACAATATTTTTCTAGCCAGATTTATATAGTTTGATTCTTAGCGATCTCCATCACTTTCTACTTTGTTATATAAGGGTAAAACGGTCAAAGCATTGGTTATAATAACATTAGAAAAATAAGCATGTATCACTTGAGACAGCTTTTCAGAACCAGCAGTGTGGAGTGTTTCTTCATCTTGCGGTTAGACTAATGAATTTTAAATTTTTTACTGTTTTTCTTGAACCTCTCTTGCTGCAGATTCTTGATGGATGTCAGGTATCAGCCAGTAGCCTTAACGAAGTGCAAGCAATTGCAGCTGGTCGCAGACAAAGAACTCCACTGCGTCACGCAATTGAAATTTACCATATTGCAGTCTTTTTAAACCTTGATCTTCTAGCCCGGAGTAATTTAATTGTTGCTTCAATATTTGCCCCATTTTTCAATAATACTTTCTGTTCCTT